TCTTTACAGACGTACCAGCGTCGGAAGGGCTCCCGGGAGCGCAGACCTCCGGATCAATTCACTCCTAGCAACTATTAGGAAATTTATGGACATTTTTTTTCTTGACTTTTTGTGTAATTAAATTAAAACATATTGGTATTTTGAATAAATTATTGTGCTTCAATTTTATTTGTGGAATTGATATATTTTGGTTGAATATTTGGTTGTTGAATATTTGGTTGTGGAATTGATTTCGACAAACAGGTGTTCTATTTTATTTCTGTTGTAAAATTGCTGTTTCTGTACAGTAAAATTGTTGGTTGTTTGGAATATGCATACAAAAGTGTTAAAGGACCGAAAAATGACAAAATCGAGCTGCAGATGGGTCACACGACTCGTGTGAGTAGGTGACACGAGTCGTGTGGCTTCAAGAGAATTTTTTTTAGCTACGACTTTTTCACACGGGTCATGTGTCATGTGACACGGGTCGTGTGACGTTACACGACCCGTGTGGTTATGTCGTGTGAGCCTGGGAGTATTTTTTATTTTTTTTAACTGAAAACGTATTTTCAGAATACGGTACGGAAACCGTATTCTGAAAATACGTTTTCAATTAAAAAAAAAATTCATAAATTTTACTATTTTTTTTTTAATTTATAGTATATAAAATTTATTTAAAAAAAACGTATATTTAAAATACGTTTTTGTATTTAAAGCGTTTTTTGAAAATACGTTTCTTATAAAACGTATTATGAAAGTACGTTTTATTTTACATTAATTTTTTTAATTGCGATTTAATTAAGTTAATCATGTTTAAAAATTTATTTCGTTATAGAACGTGACATGATAATACGTTTTCCTTTAGAAATGTATTCTGAGAATACGTTTTACAATTGAAAACGTATACCCTTTTTTTTATTTTTATTTTTGTCGAGTTAATTTTTTTTTTTTTTGATTTAAATAATAAATTCCAAAATGAAAAGAGAAACCACAATATGTTAGATTAGATTTAGGTCGTCCAGATTTAGGTTTACTCACGACTCACTGGCATCCGCCTTTCTCCCAGGTATCAGATTGCAGGCAATCGATTGATCTTTTGTCATAAGAATCTCTTGAGCGAATATTTATGCGTAATTTGTGTTGCTTGGCTTCATGATTTTCTTCCGCCATTCGGTGTTATTCTTCTTTTCTCTTTGTACTTTCTCTCCTTTGGACGTCTTAGACTAGAATTATTTGTTTATACATCGCTGGTTTTATTTCATCAAATCTTATTTTGACGGAGCGGGATTATTGCGAAGGTATGATAAAAATGTTTGTTCCATTTATCATTATGGGCATTATGTGAAACAAATTTGTGTTGGTTAATTTTTCTCGGTTACTATGGCAGTGAATGCTCTGTTACCTTAAACTGTCCTAAAAATTGTTCTGTTGTATTTTAATGATCTAATATTCTATGCTTTTAGTTGGTTAGGTTACTTTCTGGACGAAACACCAACTCAGGGGGTGCTATTTGGTACTAAAAGCGTTGGTGTTTAATCTATAGCGCTAATAGTTCTCTGATTTGGTTGGTGGGCATGTCGTGGTTTAGAGCCGGGTCTAATTTGTCTAAGCTTGCTCTTAGACGAACTCTCTTACAGAATAGATCTAATGTCGGGCAAGCGCGAGTGGCTTCTGCACAGAGTAGATACTTTCACACCACTGTTTTCAGGTCAAAAGCTCAATCGGCCTCCGTTCCGCATCCGGTTCCACTCTCCAGGCTGACTGACAGTTTCTTAGATGGAACAAGCAGCGTATATCTTGAGGAGCTACAGAGAGCCTGGGAGCAAGATCCCAATAGTGTGGATGAATCATGGGACAATTTTTTCAGAAACTTTGTTGGCCAGGCAACCACATCTCCCGGTATTTCTGGTCAAACAATTCAAGAGAGCATGCGTCTTTTGTTGCTTGTGAGAGCTTATCAGGTTTATGGCCACATGAAGGCCACGATAGATCCTCTAGGTCTGGAGAAGAGGTCCATTCCTGATGATCTGGATCCAGCACTTTATGGATTTTCGGAAGCTGACCTTGATAGGGAGTTCTTTGTCGGTGTTTGGAGAATGGCTGGGTTCCTGTCTGAAAACCGTCCAGTGCAGACCTTGAGGGCAATATTGACGAGACTGGAACAAGCTTACTGTGGAAATATTGGCTATGAGTACATGCATATTGCTGATCGCGAAAAGTGTAACTGGTTGAGAGATAAAATTGAGACTCCTACACCGACTCAATACAATCGAGAGAGGCGTGAGGTGATCCTTGACCGGCTTATTTGGAGCACCCAATTTGAGAACTTCTTGGCAGCCAAGTGGACTGCAGCTAAAAGGTTTGGGCTGGAAGGTTGCGAGACATTGATTCCTGGAATGAAGGAGATGTTTGACAGGTCAGCTGATCTTGGGGTCGAGAGCATTGTCATTGGGATGTCGCACAGAGGTAGGCTGAATGTTCTTGGTAATGTTGTCCGGAAGCCTCTGAGGCAGATCTTCAGTGAGTTCAGTGGTGGTACAAAACCTGTGGATGAAGTCGGCCTTTACACTGGAACTGGTGATGTCAAGTATCATCTGGGAACTTCTTACGATAGACCGACGAGGGGAGGTAAGAGAATACACTTGTCCTTGGTTGCAAATCCCAGCCACTTGGAAGCAGTGGACCCCGTTGTTGTTGGAAAAACTAGAGCAAAACAGTATTATTCTAATGACACCGACCGGACAAAAAACATGGGTATTTTGATTCATGGTGATGGTAGTTTTGCCGGTCAAGGTGTTGTCTACGAGACCTTGCATCTTAGTGCTCTGCCAAATTACACTACTGGTGGGACCATTCACATTGTTGTGAACAATCAAGTGGCTTTCACCACTGACCCACAATCAGGAAGGTCTTCTCAGTATTGTACTGATGTTGCCAAAGCTCTGAGTGCCCCTATTTTCCACGTGAATGGTGATGATGTGGAGGCTGTTGTTCATGCCTGTGAACTCGCTGCTGAGTGGCGTCAGACGTTCCATACTGATGTTGTGGTCGATATCGTATGCTATCGTCGTTTTGGGCACAATGAGATTGACGAGCCATCCTTCACGCAACCGAAAATGTATAAGGCATGTTCATCAAGTCTCCCTCTTCTCTATAATGTTATACTCATCATCTGTTTATCATACTTTACCATTTTTTTTTTCTCCAGTCGGTGTTATCTAAATTAAAAATCATTCCGAAACATGCTGGCTAACTTTGAAGACTGGTTTTTGTAGGTTATAAGGAATCATCCTTCAGCACTTGAGATTTACCAGAAGAAACTTCTAGAGTCTGGTCAGGTGTCAAAGGAAGACATTGATCGGATAAATAGCAAAGTCACTAAAATACTAAATGAGGAGTTTGTGGCTAGCAAAGACCATGTAACTCAAAGAAGGGACTGGCTCTCAGCCTACTGGGCTGGTTTCAAGTCTCCTGAACAGCTTTCACGTATCCGTAATACTGGGTAATAATCATTTTTATGAGTTCATAATATCCAATTTTTAATGCCTGTTGAATACTAGAGCATAAATATTATGTTCTCTAGGGTGAAACCAGAAATACTGAAGAATGTCGGCAAGGCCATCACAAGTCTTCCAGAAAATTTCAAACCTCATAGAGCAGTAAAGAGGATTTTTGAAGACCGATCAAAAATGATTGAGACTGGGGAAGGTATTGACTGGGCAGTCGGTGAAGCCCTTGCTTTCGCTACATTGCTTGTGGAGGGAAATCATGTCAGGTTGAGTGGGCAGGATGTTGAGCGAGGTACTTTCAGCCATAGACATTCTGTTATTCATGATCAGGAAACTGGGGAAAGATACTGCCCTTTAGATCACGTTATGATGAACCAAGACGAAGAGATGTTTACTGTGAGCAACAGGTTTGTCTGATCATCTTTCCTTATTCTATACCTATGATATTTCAGAGGGTTATTTCAGTTCTTTTCTTCGCTTTACTTTGAGAAATTTGACCATGAATACGTTTTTGTTAATACTTTTGGGTCCTATCCAGTTCTCTGTCAGAGTTTGGAGTATTGGGATTTGAATTAGGTTATTCAATGGAAAACCCCAATTCTCTGGTACTGTGGGAAGCCCAATTTGGCGATTTTTCCAATGGAGCTCAGGTGATGTTTGACCAATTCCTCAGCAGTGGAGAGGCCAAATGGTTGCGTCAAACTGGCTTAGTAGTCCTTCTGCCTCATGGATACGATGGGCAAGGTCCAGAGCACTCAAGTGCTCGTTTGGAGCGCTTTCTTCAGGTGTTGAACCTCTTTTCTCTATTTAGCTGAAGCTTATTTGGTTGGAGTTTGTACTATGCAGTATTCTTTTCTCTTGCACCCAATGCTGCTATCAAATTTGAACCTTTGTTCCACCTTTTAGTTTCTTTTGAAGCTTGCGTGTAATAATATCTTTCTGTGGGTGCTTTTTGCTTTGTATTTTTCTGGTATGTTGTCTTCATAATGTGCTATAGATTAAGATTTAGGGAGTCCAACTAAGTCTATTTAAGTAGAGGTAATTTTCTTGAACATGATATTGGACTTGAGACAATCTTTTCCTATCTTAAGGTGCAGTCTTCTATTCACTCTTAGGGCCTCAAATTTTGTTAAGCTTTTCTGATGAGATAATATTAAGCAGATTCATAGTGCTCTCTCTCTCTCTCTCTCTCTCCCTCTCTCTCTCTCTCTCTCTTATTTTTTATTTCCTTTTCGTTTCTTGACCTTGGGACAGGGATGAATGTGTAAGTAAGAGGCATGGGTTGGATTCTTCATGTTGTGTTCTTCTGCCCTCTTTCTGAGGGAATTTCTACTTCGAACTCGTTAAATATACCAGCTGAATATGTTGCTTAATTCTACTGATGATTGTATGAAAATTGGTATCCCTGTCGTCGTTACATTTGTCGGCTTCTTACAAACTGACACGACTGCCTCTTTGACTTTTGCTTTTATTCTTTTTTCAGCCCACCACTGTAAGTTTTACTGTTGATATTGTATTGCAGATGAGTGATGATAATCCCTATGTTATCCCTGAGATGGACCCAACCCTCAGGAAACAGATTCAGGAATGCAACTGGCAGGTGGTTAATGTTACTACGCCAGCAAATTACTTCCATGTTTTACGGCGCCAGGTAAGCACATCCAATTCTGTAAAGCTTGTTGCTGCATAAGTCTATTTTCTCATATGACTATTTATGTCACAGATACACAGGGAATTCCGTAAACCTCTGATTGTGATGTCGCCAAAGAATTTACTCCGCCATAAGGATTGCAAATCTAATTTGTCCGAGTTCGATGATGTTGAAGGCCACCCAGGTTTCGACAAACAAGGAACCAGGTTTAAACGCCTGATAAAGGACCAAAATTACCACTCAGATCTTGAAGAGGGTATCAGACGTCTGATTCTTTGCTCTGGAAAGGTATTATTGATATATAATATTTATTTGAACGAGTGTTTTCTAATACCTGAATTAGTTAGTTATATTGTTATTGCAGTAAAAGATTTTATTTGCTCATATAATTTGGTGTTTTGTGTTATTTCTGCTAGGTTTATTATGAGCTTGACGAAGAGCGGAAAAAGATTGGCGGAAAGGACATTGCAATTTGTAGGGTGGAACAGCTTTGTCCCTTCCCCTATGACCTCGCCCAACGTGAACTGAAGAGATATCCAAGTACGTATTAAAAATGAAGCACAATTTTTACTCTGATGTAAAGCTCATATAATCTTGATGTGATTTGATTCTTTCAGATGCGGAGATTGTGTGGTGCCAGGAAGAGCCAATGAACATGGGTGCATACAGCTACATTGTGCCTCGTCTTGGAACTGCCATGGAAGCTCTGGATAGAGGCACTGTGGATGAAGTCAAGTACGTGGGCCGCGGCCCATCTGCAGCCACCGCTACTGGATTTTACCAAGTCCACATCAAAGAGCAAAATGAGATCGTGCAGAAAGCAATGCAGCCTCAACCTATTAAATTATAAACTTGATGAAAGCTCATGAGATTATTGACTGAGTTTTATAGTTGCATACTGTTACTCCGTTTCCATTTTGTAAAACCCATCTCGTTTAAGATGGTAAATTATACATTGGGAGAGATCTTTTCTTTTTCTTTTTGTTAAATCAAAGGCTATTGACAATAATTGAACAACTCTACTCTTTTGTTTACTTAAATGGTAGATGTTTAGCAGATATAGTTAATCCAGCATTTATTATATTTTATGTTGAATAAATTATGTGGGTGTTATAAATTAAATTTATATTATACTTTCCAACTTGATTAAAGCAGTTGATACCTAGTTCCATCTCGTGTGGGAGCCCCCATCCCTTCTTCTAGGGTTTTCTTTCCATCGTGTGTGGAATCTTCTATTCTGTCCTTAGATCTAGTCTCCAACTTTCTCCTTTCCTAATTTTCTCCTCTCTTCTTTCCTTTCGGTTTCTCTTTTTTTGGTTTTTCTCTATTAGCTAAAGTTCTTTGCGATTTATTTTCAGGGTGCATCTCTTTTATGCGCATCTGTACCGATAAGAGCCACAGTGGGTTCCAGGACTGCAGTGCTTGCTCAGATTGCTCAGGAGGCTTATTTGAGTTCTGATTCATTTCCATTAGCTATGGAGCAGGAAGTTCTTGATAAACTGCGAAAGTTTGAGCTATCGGACAAAGAAAGGCTAGGGGTCGAGATAGCCAACATCGATATTGAGCCTGGGATACAAGAGTGCTCGCTCAGTTTAATTGGCAAGATTATTGGTGAAAAAAGGGCGAGCATCGGGGGTCTGCGTTCAACCATGGCTATTGTGTGGAAAACAACTCAACAGTTCTCAATCAAAATCTTGGGTCCCAATCTATTTCAATTTCTTTTCCAAAGCGAGGAGGAAAAATCAAGAGTTCAGAAGGACAAGGCATGGACGTTCGATGGGCAATATCTGCTCCTCAAGGAATGGAAGAAAGGGGAAATAGAATTTAAAGATGAAGAACTGACGGCCGATCTATGGGTGCAAATTCACAACTTGCCCCTACACTGGCTATCTGCAGAAACAGGTATGAAAGTGGGCAGGATGTTTGATGATGTTATAGATGTGGTGGCTCCAGGAGCAGGATCCAATAATGGGCGTATCATAAAGATCCTAGCGGCAGTTAGAGTATCTGAACCCTTGCCAAGAGGCACTAGGATTAAGTTAGGTCAGGAAGAGCATTGGATAGAGTTTAAGTATGAGAACTTACTGGGTTTTTGCTTTTACTGTGGCATAATTGGGCATAATGAAAGGCAGTGTGAAGTCAAAAAAGAGGATGTCAGAAGGAAGGTTATTAAAACTGGGCAGTATGGGGATTGGCTGAGAGCTATGGGGGGAGGTATGGGGGATGGGAGAGAGAAGAAACCTTCTAGCTCTAGTATTCCTACCCCCTTGTCTAGTAACAACTAATTGCCTCAGACAGGATTAGTAGGGAGTGAGCCAAGTAGGGTGGGGGAAATTATTCCAGCTAGGTTGTCAGAGAGTGATAAACTTAAAGTGAGTAGTGAGAAAGTGGGCAGGAGTGATATAGGCATACCCTCAGTTATTGGGGAAGGGGGATCTAAGGATCCTTTAAACCAAGGTAATCCTTCTGAAGAAGGTTCTGCCTTTGGTATGCATATGGAGGTTGATGCTCCAAAGGGTTTAGTTCAAGGCTCTGGTAATCTTGTGGAAGTGATGGTTCAATCTGGTACTATCCAAGTAGGAGGTCCTAAGAACCAAAAGACTTTCACAAGAATTACTAGAACTAGGAAAGCTGAGGGTAAAGGCCAGATGGTGAATAATGGGGCAAGCTTGAGTTCCCAAGAGGAACATAACTCTCCTCCTCTTAAGAGGAAAGGGGATCAGATTCTTAGAATAGAAGGGGATGACAATGAGTCTGAGTCTAAAAAGAAAAAAGAAAAATTTGAAATAAACAATAATCAATTGGTGGAGGAAACCAGCCATAAATGGTCCCAAGTTTTCAAATGAAAGTTATAGTGTGGAATTGTAGAGATTTGGGAGGACCCTCTATAATTTCCCAGTTGAAGGATAAGATAAAATCCTACCTCCCAGATTTTTTGTTTTTATGTGAAACTAAAAAGAAAAAAGCCTTTATTAAAACTGTTTGTAATAATTTGCCTTTTGATTCTAGATGGTTTTGTGTTGACCTAGTGGGGTCTAAGGGTGGGCTGCTTTTGTGTTGGTCTTCTAAAGTGTCAGTCTTAGAAATTGTTAATAATATGTTCAGTTTAGAAGTTAAGTTTTCTTTGGAGGGTGGTTCTATTCAGATGTGGGGGGTGTTTGTATATGCTAGTGTTAACCCTGGGGAGAGGCAATATCAATGGGAGATGCTTAATAGACATCAACTTAGGTGGGGGGACTTGTGGTTTATTGGGGGGATTTTAATGCTATAACTTGTAATGAGGATAAGAGAGGGGGATTGGTGAGAGGTGAGGGGAGCTACAGAGATTTTAGGAGCTTTCTGTATAATCTTGGTGTGGTAGAATGTCCAGTGATTGGCCCCAAATTCACTTGGTCTAATCTTAGGAGGGGGTGGATTTTGTAGAGGAGAAGCTTGATAGGATATGCCTCTCTCCTGAATTATTTCTGAAATTCTCTAATGCCCAGGTTTTTAATATTCCTCTGATGTCCTCTGATCATAACCTCTTGATCTTGGATCTATTTAACTCTAAGGTGGTCAGGAGAGGCAGATTCATGTTTGATAATAGGTGGACTAGGCAGGAAGGATTTCAGGGATGTGTTTCTGATGCCTGGAAGGTGGAAACATCTGGGCCAGCATTGTATAAGTTATAGAAGAAGCTGAGGAATGTTAAGAATAGATTGTTGGGTTGGTCTGCGAGACAGAAGTCAAATTCTGGAGGTTTAATCAAAGAATGCAATGACAGGTTAGAGGAAATGGGAAAGCAAGGGGGTTGGAGAGACTGGGGAGCATGGCATGAGTGTAGAGCTAAACTTCATCAAGCATATCAGGAGGAAGAATTATTTTGGAAGCAAAAGTCAAGGGTTAGATGGCTGAGGGAAGGAGATAGGAACACGCGATATTTCCAGGCATGTGTGAAGCAGAGGAGGCAAATGAACAGTTTAGAGCATTTGATTTGTAGATCTGGAGTGCCTTGTAGCAACAGTGCAGAGGTAGTGAGTGAGGTGGAAGACTTTTTTGGTAGATTGCTGAAATCTGAATCTCCAGCATGGAATGAAGAAGTATTTCAGGGCATTCCTAAATCTATAACTGTGGAAATGAATCAGCAACTCACTAAGTCAGTGACTGAAGAGGAAATCAAGCAAGCATTGTGGGCCATGGATCCCAACAAAGCTCCAGGTATAGATGACTTCTCCCCTTTATTTTTTCAGCATTCTTGGGATATTATTAAGACTGATTTGTGTTTAGCTATATCTAATTTTTTTGATTCAGCCTGTATTCCTAAGGCCACTAATCATACAGTTATCACATTTATCCCAAAGATTAAAGATCCTAAAATGATTACCCAGTATAGACCTATAAGCCTTTGTACCATCACCTATAGACTTATTGCTAAAATCCTTGCCAATAGACTTAAAGAAGTTCTCCATTGCTGTATCTCTCAGTCCCAAGCTGCCTTTGTACCTGGTAGACAAATATTAGATAATTGCATCATTGCCAATGAATGCATCCATTTCCTAAATACTAGGTACAAAGGTAAGGCTTGCTTCATGGCTCTTAAACTAGATATGGAGAAGGCTTATGATAGGTTAGAATGGGACTTTTTGATTAAGGTGTGTAGGTGTATGGGGTTTAGTGAGACCTTTTTGAGATGGATATATTCCTGCATCAGCTCCTCTTCCTTCTCATTTAATATTGGGGGGAAAATTTCTGGTCAGGTTATTCCTTCAAGAGGAATTAGGCAAGGCTGTCCTCTTTCCCCTTATTTGTTTATAATTGCTTCTGATTTTTTGTCCAATCTTATTTCTAATGCCTGTACATCTAAGTATTTATCAGGGGTGCAAATTAGTAAGCATTCCCCTTCTATCTCTCATCTTTTTTTTGCGGGTGATGCTTTGCTCTTTTGTAAAGCTGATCCTGAGCAAACAAAGCATATAGCCTATATTTTGAAGCTCTATTGTGATGTCTCTGGGCAAGCTGTGAATTTTTCCAAATCCAGTATCTTTTTCTCAAAAAACACTCCTGAATCCATTAAATCTGTTATATGTAGGTTCTTTCCTTGTATTGCCATGGCTAAATACTCTAAATATCTGGGGCTTCCACTAGGGATTGGTAAGTCTAAAAAAGACACATTTTCCTTTGTGAGAGAGTGTGTGGTGTCTAGAATATCTAAATGAAAAAATCAATTTCTTAGTGAGGCTGGAAGAGAAGTTCTTGTCAAAACAATGTTGGCAGCTATGCCTATGTATGTAATGTCTGTTTATAAGCTGCCAAAAGGGGTGTGTGATGATATATGTAGAACTATTGCTCAGTTTTGGTTCGGTAGGTCTGAGGAGGGGGGTAGCAAGATTCATTGGATGGGTTTGGGGTAAACTAGCTAAGGCTAAATCTGAAGGGGGTCTAGGCTTTAGGGATTTTGAGGATCTGAATACAACTCTTATCTTAAAGCAGATCTGGAGAGTGCTTTCCAGGCCAAACCTGCTAATGAGTAGAGTTATTAAAGGGAAGTACTTTTACAACCAAAATATAATGGCAGTGGCTAAAAAAGACACTGATTCTTGGATATGGAAAGGGTGGTTGAGTGTTAGGAAGTTCCTTAAGCTGGGGTCTAGGTACTCAGTAGTGAACGGGAGGGCCTTGGATATATGGGATTCACCTTGGATACCAAATATTCCAGGATTCAAACCAGGGGAGGGAAATGCTTATGACAAGAATAAGTTGCATAAGGTGGTAGATTTGATGGTAAAGGATAGAGCTGAGTGGGATAGGGAGTTAGTTCTGGAAACATTTCAACCTCAGATAGCCCACCAAATTCTTAAAATCCATATCAACAAGGGTGGAGCTAATGACAAAATGGTGTGGCATCCTCATAAAAAAGGAGTTTTTACAGTGAAATCAGCTTACCATTTCATTCAAAGTCAGAAAAACATATAGCTGGGCAGGAGGAGGGTAGTGTAGGTAGGATTAATGTTAAAAGAATGTGGAAATGCATCTGGAAATTACCTATTAAGAATAAAATTAAGAATTTTCTGTGGAGATGTGTCCACAATTGTTTAGGAACTAAAGTTAATTTGGGTATGAGAGGGATGAAGGTGGATTGCATTTGTGAGGGGTGTGGGGAAAGGGAGGAATCATTGGAGCACATAATTTTTTACTGTGATAGAGCTAAAAAAGTATGGAAATTGGCAGGTATATGGTGGAGGGAAGAAGTGGCTTTCAAAGAATGGTGGGCAGAAATATGTGAGCTGCTGGTTGAAGGAAATGGCAAAAACAGGGTCTCACTAACCACATATTTGCTGTGGTGGTTATGGAAGACCCGTAATGGGTGGGTATTCAAAAAAGGAGTGGTGCTCAGAAAGACAGTTAGTGATGCTAGCATATCAAGAATGGAATGAGTTTGAAGCTGCAACAAGCCCTCAGTCAGAGATGAGTTCCACTTCTGTTGATTTGCAAGGAGTAGGGGAGCAAGCTCTTACTCTCGGTGCTAATGGATCATCAGTTGGAGGAGCACAGGTTCATGGAAAAGCTTTAATCAACGAGGTGGTAGTGCAGGAATGGTCTTCAACTATACAGCCACTCAAAGGAGCAGAGGAGAAGAACTTGATTCAGATTAGAGATTGGCTACTTAGTGGAAGCAAAAAAGGATGGCAGGAAGTCAAGCTTGTTATAGAGGACAAAATGCTGAAGAAGAAGCTGACCGCGAGGATGCCATTTGATATGGAGGTTGCAGTAATCGTTGAAGATATTTATGCACTACTTGACCAGTTGTGTTCATGGAGTATTGTTGATTCCTTTAATGGGGGCTAATTTGATGTTCTGTGTTTTTATGTTTCTTTTTCTCTTTGTTGCTGGTTGTTTTTCTTTTTGTTTTGGAGGCCTGATTGGTCATGTAGGGGAGCTGAGGCAGTGTCCTCTGTTAGATTTCTTGGAGGGGGTCTTGTCCCTCTAGGGATCTTATTTGTAACCCGTTGGTTATACGGATGTACATTTTGAGTTTTATATATAAAATTTGATGTTTTGGCAAAAAAAAAAAATAAATAAAAATAAAGCAGTTGATACATTTTGTTCTATATTTCTTGATCTGGCTTGGCCTAGCCGGTCGTTAGTTGACTGAAAACCTTTTGAATGAGAATTCAACCAGATATAGGGTCATGCTTTCCGAACATTTTCTTAAGTGGCCCTGTTGACCTAAACAGTTTGACCAAACCCAATCGAACCTCGCAACACTTTTTTTTTATAGGGTAAATAATAATTTGCAATTTGTACT